CTTGGAAGGGAGAGAACCAAGACTCTCGAATTTCTTGGAAACTCATTGTAATTACTATTCAATTTTATTGTTTGATAATCAGTTTCTATCATAATCTTATAAAATCTTGAAGTTTTTGGCTTGCAGGAACTGCTTGCTTTTTTGTTGGATGGATTGCATGAAGACCTTAATCGTGTAAAACGCAAGCCATATCATGAAGTTAAGGATGCAGATGGCCGTCCAGATGAAGAAGTGGCTGAAGAGTATTGGCGAAATCATCTTGCTCGCAATGATTCAATAGTAGTTGATTTGTGCCAAGTAAGGCTTATGAGGTTTTTTTCTTATTATTTAAGAATTTTGTACTCTTGGGTTTTTAACACATCGTTCAGGGTTATGTGCTTCCTAAGTTTACTGTATCATGATGCATAGAAGATGTTGATAGAAATAATCAAATAGACATCCCGAAAATAGATCCTTTTCTCCCTGTTATGCCAGACTACTATTAAAGAAAGAAGGGATTGGTGTATTGAAATACTAGTGGTTATTATATAGACTTGGCTACTAGCTGCCACTGAGCTCATTTTTATTGAACGGTTGACAACCACACTGCATGTGAGGTTTAAAACACGTTTTTAGTGTTTTGTAAAAGGAAAAAACAATATTGTAATTAGGAAGCAAAAAACAATTCTATATTACCTCCAGTTCAACAGTTATCACTTTTGAAAGTAAATTTTATTTCCTTCCGTTGTGCAGGGTCAGTTCCGATCGACATTGATTTGCCCTATTTGCAAGAAGATTTCTATCACCTTTGACCCTTTTATGTATCTATCTCTGCCATTACCTTCTACAACGATAAGGACCATGACTGTGACTGTCGTGAGCACTGATGGGATCACATTGCCTTCTGCAATTACTGTAACAGTGCCTGAACGTGGAACACTTAAGGATCTGATTGGGGCCTTAACTACTTCTTGTTCTCTGAGAGAGGATGAAACCCTCTTGGTGGCTGAGGTATTTTACAGCAGTTGTGCATTTTGAAGAATTATTGCATGTTATCCCTGATTAATTGAATCATTGTGTAATATGTTAACAAATAACATAAATTTATCAGGCTAATGCAAACACTTTTGACGTGTTTGTTTTAATTTTAAGTCTGATTTTATGGGGTTATATACAGATATACAAGAATAGAATTTTCCGGGCATTTGAGGATCCATCTGATTCATTGGCTGATATTAGAGATCAAGACAAACTTGTCGCTTATCGAGTGCAGAAGTATAATGAAGATAGCATCTTCATTGTTTTTATGCATGAACGTGTGGTGGAAGGGTAAGCTTTTTCTATTCCTTAATTCCACGTCTACAGACTGGAGTAGTTTCAGTTTGTTCCTACAATACCTTATTGCATACCCCTTGACCTGAAGTACACTCACTGTAGTAGACATCATGCTGTGATAACACTTTTTTGCCACATTTGGCACAATCTCTACTTTTGGGAGCACATACTCCTAGAGTATCTAGTGATTTTACATCTTAGCCTACCCCAATAATTAAACCTACGGACTTATTTGGTAGTTGGGGAAGACAATTCTTGATACATAGAAAGAGTATAAGGGCTGGAGAAGACTTTAAAATATTCCAACATCCTTTAATTTTTTATAACAACACTCTAGAAACAAAGATTCTCCCTTCCAAAAACACTCTCCAGTCCCGAACAAGGTAAGAGATTCTCCTCCTCTCCCCCCACCCCAAAGTCCTCCCTATCCATTCTAACTCCCAACAAGGCATAGAGAGACTTTAGATTCCGCTTATTCATGTGGAACATCACAAATTTTTGTGATTAATCTATGTTGTTGTCTACGAATGTGTTAGGAACCCAGAAATCCTACTGAATGGAAAGAATATTTTTAAAAAAAAAAAATGAAAGAATAGGAGAATAGAATCACTACTCTATTCACAAAATGTTAACAAATCTGAACGCTCCTTATCCTTGTATTCTCCTATTTATACATGATACGTTCTAACTAATCAATTAACTGACCAACTAACTACTCTAATAGTTTATTCAAGTCGGCTAGAATGTCTGTAAAATAAACACACATATAGTTGGTTGCCATTTTTGAACTTCAGATGCGGACAAAGGGTGTTACTTTTCAAATGTGTGTATTTAATAAATTAGTAAATGAGCCTAATTTTGGAATTGATCTGTTGATTGTTTCTGTATTAGCCGCTGATCTTTTTGTTCTTTATTGGCACTAAATTTGTTGTATCATGTATTACAGTTACGGGAGGGAGAAGTTCGGTATTCCAGTTGTAGCAAGGCTGTCCAGCATTACTTCTGGATATGATGTTCATAAGGAGTTTCTGAATTTAATCAATCCATTTTTGATGCAAAACACTGAGAAAACAATAGATGAATATGATAAGGATGATGACGATACTAAAACACTAAATGAAGTTGATGAAATCGGGGAAACTAATAACTCTGAAGCAATAGAAAGTGATGCAGTCTTGAACAGCGAAGCAGAGGATGACATACATTTGTGGACTGACTTTGAATTCTATTTATTATTATCTGGGAATGAGGTTTATAAGATAACATCAAATGAACCATTACCTGTCACAACGTTGTCCAGTAAGCTGGAGGTAGCTGTTGTATGGTCAGATAAAATGCTTAAAAAGTATGACACTGACCTGCTTGATTCATTGCCTGAGGTTTTCAAGCCCCCGTTTTTCTCCAAGAGAACACAAGAGGCAATATCTATATACAAGTGCCTTGAAGCTTTTTTGAGAGAGGAGCCTCTTGGACCAGAAGACATGTGGTAAGTAGATATATAATAATATCCTTTTTTTAATATTATATTTTCTATATAATTTATTATATGTTTTATGTGTTTATCGTGAACAACCTAGTAGAGAAAGGCTCTGATTGTTGTTGTTTTCTATGTTATTCAAGAGTGCTGTCTCTTAAGTTCTAAAAAGTCAGATATATTAGTCTTTCTGATGTTAGATATTGCAATTTGATGTTCATAAGGTACTGTCCTACCTGCAAAAAACCTCAGCAAGCAACTAAAAAGTTGGACCTTTGGAGATTGCCTAAAATTCTTGTTGTTCATTTGAAGAGGTTCTCATACGACCGATTCTTCAAGAACAAGCTGGAAACTTTTGTCGACTTTCCGATGGATGATCTGGATTTGTCCACCTATGTTGCTCACAGGAGCTGTCCATCTCCCTATAGCTATATGTTGTATGCAATTATTTGTCACTATGGCGGGTTAGGAGGAGGCCATTATACAGCGTTTGTTCGCGTAAGTACCTCACATCTGTCTCTTACTTTATTGACACATTAGAACTAATTAATCTCGCATTGTTTTTTGTTCAGTCACTTTATGTTTAGCCAATAATTATTCCTTTACCTTACTAGTCCTATTAGTAATTTCTTTGGGGGAAGCAAGATTTTCAGCACTGACCACATGAGATATAGAGACGTCTTCCTGCTTTTCTTTAAAAAGTCTGTTTCAGAGGATGTTAAAAGACTTAGAGGCTAGAGCATAGAGCATAGATTTTCAAAATAATTTTATAATTACGTTATAACATTTATTATAACATTTATTATACGATTGATGATTGTAAGTGTTATTAGACTTCCTAATCACCTTAATTTATTTATTTTAAATAAATCTGAAATACATCTTGTCTTTCAGTGATTAATTTATTCTATGCGTACTTTCTGTTTTTATTATAAGCATGCATAGTTTCATTCTAATTATGCTTATCCAACTAACTGTATTTATTTTCTGGCAGTATGGCCCTGATAAATGGTACGAGTTTGATGATAGCAGGGTTGCCCCTGCTGACGAGGAGACGATAAAGACTCCCGCTGCTTATGTTCTTTTCTACAAGAAAATTTAGATGAAGACGGAAACCTTAGAGTGTAATTAGTCATACCAACATAGAAAGCTCCGAGGTTTTTAGGTCACGTGTCTATACAGTTGCGCCTGAGTTCCTCATATTGTTGTTTAAGTGCATCCGGTTTGATTTTATCAAGATTAGTGAAGAGAAAAAACAGAAGGATTCAATATTGTACAGCTTTTAGAAGCTAAAGGATAAGAGGGTAGATCTTAAATTTTTTGAAGTCGGAAGACAGATATATACACCTGTTGGGCGACTTGTATATACACATCCTGAAATTATTTAATCTATTTTTTGGATCAGATATGGCTTTGGTTTTTTTCAAGCCATGGTTATATATGGACAGTTGCACATTTTTGCCTCTGTTTCATGTCATCCTTGGTGTTCTTAGGCCAATTTTTTTAGAACTTTGAGTTGTGCATCTTACCCGTTTAGTTCAATGCTATGTATTTTTTCCTAACGTCGGTTAAGGAATGTGTATACTTTTTCAGTTTCACTTTTGTACCAGAATGTTATAAATTCGCATCAATATCCTAACCGAACATTGAGCTTCAATATTCCCATTCCAGTAGGTACTGCAGATCTTTCAAAATTGCAAAGAAACTGATAATTGTTGCAGTCGATCGGTTGATTGAGCAAACAAATCTTCTATTTATCATTTAAGATTTTCAGATGGCTAAGATTGTATATATGTTGTTAAAGTAGGAAGTATTGATAATAATGCCTAAGCCAACTAAGAACGTCTTTTACAATAGCCTGGGATCAAGATTTTGTGATGTTCCTCAAACTGCAGGTATCCTTTTACTTTGTTTTCATATAGTAAATAATGAGTCTAAATAATTTGATCAAAATTGACAGTTTAAGAAAATGATATGATATAACATAATTATTTTTTACAAGAAAATATCACACTATACAAGAATAATACCGAGGGTTGGTGTATACTATAAATTAATTTTGTTGAACATACTAATCGTAAATGAGTCATCAGCTACGTGCAACATTATAGACAAATTAGGAAAATAGTTACAATTTTTCAAGTTGTGTCCTTGAGAACAGAACGTGTATATTTTGGTAATATTTTATACCGGAAAGTACAAAACCACCCTTATGATAAACCCCACAAAATTTCTCCATTATTATCCTTCACTCGTCAACACCTCAACAGTATATAGATCATTCCCCCAAAGCCCTTATTCCTTTCAGTTTCAACCAATTTCTTGTTATCCCCTTTTCTCTTCCGAAATTCGATCTAGCCGCAACTACCGAAAGCTTCGGCAAAACAGTGCTCACAACTCCGCCGCACTCACAGTCGCCACCACCGTGACTCTCGCTCTCCTGTTCCAGGTAATTCATCATCATTTTCTTCTATTCAAATTAATTTCCAGTTACCTTCTCACCGTGAAATTCAGCGTTTAAACCTTATTACTACTGGTAGAGTAATTGAGGTCATTTTTCTGGACTCACAGAATTTCGATATATGCTTGTTAATTCTGAGTTTGTTTAATTGCAGCATAAAATGGAAGGTGTTGATGCACTAATACATAGAGATAAACTGGTTCTAAAGGGGTTAAGTTTCTATGGTTTTCATGGAGTATTGAAGGAAGAAAAGATTTTGGGGCAGAAGTTTTTTGTAGACATAGATGCTTGGATGGATCTCAAACCAGCCGGAAAATCTGATAACTTGTCTGATTCTTTTAGTTATGTTGAAATATATCGGTCAGTCACCATTTTGACTAAACTTATGAATATAGTCTCTTTAGCACCGACACACATATGAGTATCAGTGTCAGCATGTTAGTGTCGGTGTCTTGTTTGAGTGTATGTGCTTTATAGTTTATAGCTTTTTTAAAACAGGTTGACTTTATTTTATATTATTATAAAAATAGCATATGCATAAGCACTTATAGGATAAATGTTTAGTTTAGTTGTTCATCTGAATATAACCTTTATTCCCAAAATAAGAGTAATTAGTTGGGGTCCATTATATGTTTGTAAACTTTTCAATGTTAAACTAAACATATACTCTTGGTTGGTGCAGTATAGCTAAGGAAGTTATTGAAGGACCAGCTCATAATCTTCTGGAGTCAGTGGCTCAAAAAATTGCAATCTCCACCTTGGAAATTCACAAAGAGATATCTGCTGTTCGTGTGAAGGTTGGAAAGCCTCATGTGGCAATTCCGGATCCGTTTGATTACTTAGGTGTTGAGATTTTGAGACGCCGAAGCGATTTGACAGATTAGAACTTTCATATTTAATAATGTGCTTTTATTTTTATTTTTTATGTTCTCCAATTTGATTTGATACAATAATAACATTACTCCTCCTGAGCATACCATTAGAACAAAAAATGCAGTGAGAAATTGTTATTTTTTAACTGCCAAAGAGTATATCTGAGTAAAGTTTACATGTAATCATGTTAATTTATAAAGTATTCATCTGTAATTCTTTCCTCTTTCAGTGCCATATAGTCAATTCTGTAATGAAAAGCGCTTTTCCGTTTTCTGCTCTGCATATAGGCTTGTAAGAGCCTTCACTGATAATGTTTGTTTAGTATACTCACAACTACCATATTGGAGCAGACACATGTTGTTAAGAAGGAAATACTGCCTACCATGTGAGAGGGTTGTGAACCACTTTAAGGAAGCAGAATTATAATGAACACAATTTTCACCTATTCCAAGTTGCTTTTAAATAGGTAAGTTGTTCCATTGAACCAAAACTTGTTTGACTGCTTGGGCATTGTGCAGCAGGACATGAGTCTTAAGGATATTTGAAGGTTGAAATATTGGACCTTCTTCTGTGGGCAGCAACGGCAGTGGCATGTATTGGACCTTCTTCTGTGGGCAGCAACGGCAGTGGCATGTATTGGACCTTCTTCTGTGGCCAGCAATGGCAGAGCATTTTAGACCACTGTCGAGGTTGATCAACAGTAAAACACCTCAGGGACTGCTCAAAACATTTGTTTAAGGCTTTTGATTGACCATCTGACTGGATGGTAAGATGAAGTCATGGCTAAAGTGGTGCCACTCAGCTTAAACAGCTTTTTCCAAAATGAGCTGGTAAATACCTTGTCACGATCCGGGTCAATAGAAGTAGGAAAACCATGCAATTTGACAACAATGCGGAAAATTAGCTCAGCCACCTTCAAGCTTGAAAAATCAGCTTTCATAGGAAAGAAATGACCATACTTGTACTTGATGAATTTTTGTACTTGTGACTTGAGATGAAATAATCTTATAAAATCTTGAAGTTTTTGGCTTGCAGGAACTGCTTGTTTTTTTGTTGGATGGACTGCATGAAGACCTTAATTGTGTAAAACGTAAGCCATATCATGTAGTTAAGGATGCAGATGGCCGTCCAAATGAAGAAGTGGCTGAAGAGTATTGGCTGATATTTCCTTCCATTGTGCAGGGTCAGTACCGATTGACATTGGAGCACACACTCACTGTAGACATCATGCTGTGATAGCACTTGATTGTTTTCATGCATGAACGTGTGGTGGAAAGGTAAGCTTTTTCTATGCTTAATTCCACGTCTACAGACTGGACTTGTTTCAGTTTGTTCCTACAATACCTTTCTCTATATGTTTGTCCCTAATAATTATCGCATACCCCTTGACCTGAAGTACACACTCACTGTAGACATCATGCTGTGATAGCACTTCTTTTTGCCACATTTGGCACAATCTCTACTTTTGGGAGCACATACTCCTAGAGTATCTAGTGATTTTACATTTTTACCTACCCCAATAGTTGGAAGGGGTCAGAAGGAAAGAGTATAGAGAAAAGGGCTGGAGAAGAGGGGATAGCCCCTACCCTGCATGAGGTTTTATTTGGGGGAACTCAAAAAATGAATTGGGAGACTTTAAAATATTCCCACAACCTTTTATAGGAGAATAGAACCACTAGTTTATTCACAAAATGTTAACAAATCTGAATGCTCCTTATCCTTGTATTATCATAGTTATCCATGATACGATGTAACTAAGCATTTAGGATGTGTTTGGTTTGAGGTAGATTGAGGGGAAGGGAGGAGAGGGAAGAGAATATTACTAATTAAATGTGTTTGGTTCAAATTTTAGGAGGGGAGGGGAGTAAATCCCCTCTAAAACACACTTTTTGTGTCCCTCCAAATCAGGGGATTTGGAGGGGAGGAGAGATAATCTGATTTTTATGGCTCATCACGATATAAAAATTATTATAAATACGTAATTTAATTTATGTCGAAGAGTTATAATCTGAATCAAATATAATCAATTTATTAACGTTACGTTATAATTTCTTTAATCAATCAACATTATAAATTGTGTTTAACTATTTATGCATATTTTATTACCAAAAGATATTTATGAATTTTTCAACTTTGAATATCATACGACGTATATAAGATCATAAGGATAAAAATGTAAATTATTAATAAAATCTCTCCCATCCACTTCTGAACCAAATATATTTTTTATTAAAATTCCTCTCCCCTCCTCTCAATTGAATCAAACATACATATATATATATACATACATACATATATACATACATATATATATATATACATACATACATACATACATACACACACACACAGACATACGTACACGCACGCGCGCGCACGCACGCGCGCACGCGCACGCGCACGCGCGCACACACACACACACACATATATATATATAAACAATGGTTGCCATTTTTGAACTTTGTTAGGAACCTTCACTTTTGATTTGGTGTCTAGGAAGCGAAAATACACCTCTGCCCTAGAAATCCACCCAGCTGGATCTTCGCCATCAAACATCGGCAACTCCACTTTCTTCACAGACTGACAAAATTCAGCTGCATCATCAGATAGTTGATGAATCTTCGTCTTTAATGTCGCTCCCAAATCACCTCCTCCTCCTTCATGTGCTTATTCTTTAAGGGTTTGTCTCCCTTATTCACACTTGCTTCTACTGGTTGTAACGATTTGCCTAAACACTTCTCCAGCTTCGCGATCAAACTCATGTGATTCTCCTTGACCATGTTCTCCATTGCAGCAAGTGCCACTTCTCACTTTGGAGATCTCACTCTGAAGCTTCTACCTTGGATTCCATTTTCTTGAGAATAACTTGTTGTTTTCATTTCGGTGGCATTCACTGGCTCCTGTTGTTGGAATCCGGTAGGTCGGGCCATCTCGGGCCATTTTGTTAAGAACTCAATGAATAATAAAGTTGAAGAACAGTAACAAAGTGGTAACGAAGGAAAAGACTGTATTATTAAGGATAAACCAACCACTGCTTGGGCCCCCTAATACTACCATGGAGCCGATCATTCCTATCAAACTTCATATGTAAGACCAAGGGTGTTACTTTTCAAATGTGTATTTTGTAAATGAGCCTATTTTTGGAGTTGATCTGTTGGTTGGTTGTCTCTGTATTTGCTGCTGAGCTTTTTGTTCTTTATTGGTGCACTAAATTTGTTGTATCATTTATTACAGTTATGGGAGGGAGAGATTTGAAAATAGATTGTTCGGTATTCCAGTTGTCGCAAGGCTGTCTGGCATTTCCGGATATGATGTTTGCAAGGAGTTTCTGACATTAATCTATCCATTTCTGATGCAAAGCACTTAGGAAACAATAGATGAATATGATAAGGATGATGATGATACTAAAACAATAAATGAAAGTTGATGAATTTGGCGAACTAATAACTCTGAAGCAATAGAAAGTGATTCAGTCTTGAACAGGCTAAGCGGAGGATGACATACATTTGTGGACTGACTCTGAATTCTATTTGTTGTTATCATCTGGGAGAGGAAAAGATAATACAAACCAAATTGAACCATATATATAGTTTGGTTTGGATCTTGAAACTGTTTCTATAAAATTGGTTTATTATTTTAAAACCAGTTTACATATGAATCGGTTCAATTTTAAACTGGTTTCTCACAAAAAAACAGTTTTAAAAAAATTCAGTTTTAAATCCGGTTTATTAATTCAAAACCAGTTTTTTATTTTCTTCAAAAAAACAATTTTAAAACCAGTTTTAAATCCAGTTTTTAAAAAAACAATCAATTTTATATCAAAAATGGTTTTATTTTCTTTAACCAATCTTTTTATTTTAAAAAATTCTAAATCTGGTTTCAATAAAAAAACAATTATTTAAAAAATGTTGCTTTAAATTCGACTCTTATAATCTCCACAAAATCTCGAATCCCAAATTATAATGTGTTACATAAAAAGGATCATAAAATAAAATAAATTATGAATCATGTCTATAAATCATTCAAACTTCCAACACTTCTTTGCATCATCCATCATATCTACAAATAAAATAAATAAATAAGCATTTTTTGAATTATGTCAAACTAAGCATAGGAAGAGGCAGATCATATTAGTATGGTGTAAGATCATTTGCAGAAACCTAAAATATGGTATAGCAAAGAAAAAATTGGAATTGCAAGGTAGAACACAAATTCCTTTCCAACTAATAAATAAACATGTTGTGAGTGATTGTGAAATAAGACAGCTAATATAACAGTACAAAGATTTGAGACTCTGAATTATTCATCTTGCCATTCAACCTCAAATTGCAAATATCAAATTAATGTCGAGAACAAAACTTGAGGACACATCTAAATTCCCTTTTATTTACCATAAACATATTGAATCAAATGACAAAAGTTTTTATAAATTCGAGGACACATATCAGTAAGTTTCCAATTAGGTGAATCACTTATACACATTTAAAATTACAACCACACACATTAAACAAATAAATGGAGTGTTCTTAATGCTACCAAAGATGATATTGGGCAGATTCAATGATGCAAGTATGCACAATGAATGGAGTGCACAATGATATGTGAGATATTTTATATCTGTTTCATTCAAATTTTGTTTGGGCATAAAAGTGAAATTTCTTGTCTTATCTATTACACAATGATCATGGATCCCTTTTTGTTATCTACAAGAGACTAATTAGCAATTATCATGTTCTAGATACTTAGTGAAGCCTAAGCCTTTTGCTACATGAAGAATCATAGTATGAAATTATAGAATGATCGTGCTGTATCTAAGGCATCATATTCAATAAATGAAAGAATGGATAAAACCTTTTGATTACAATTTACAGAGACAGAAGTAAAAAAGTTAGAAAGCGAACTAATTCATAGACATCAAGCATTTTCATTTAAACCCCTTATACTTTTGTTAGATATTTGCAAGTCCAATGTATGAGTATCTGGATACTAAAAACGGGTTATTACACAAAAGTAAACCACGGGTTATTACACTAGCTAAACACAGTTTAAGTAAAGCATATAAGTGTAGAAAAGTTCTAGTTTAGAATTATGTACATGCAGTGCGATGACTGATTGAAGGAAGGCTGAAATATTGGCGACATCTTTCACCCAGACTGGACCCTTTGTACTATTCAGTAAATAGGTTTTTGTGGAAGATCCATAGGCCCAATATCCTGAAAAGGTTATAAGGTACAATGGTATAACTCCGAGGGTAAACTGAAAGTAATAGGATTTCATCATGTTCTTGATGACTGGCTGCTTAATTGTTGCCTGCAAGTTACATTATCAAATAAAATTCAGTTTATTATTACGCTTAAATGAAACAGAACCATATCAACTTGAAACTTGAGATGATATGAAAGTGGATAATCTTTCTATCCAACCTGTATCTCCGGAAGCATGCCGGTGTTATATGCGAACACTAGGTTAGCAGATGCCCCGATCGTTTCAAATACTCTACTTGCCCCTTCTCCTGGAATGGTGTAATCTCGAGGTGGTGACTGTATTCCTGAAAATTTACTGCAGGTTAGTTTTGGAAATGTATCAACTCAGATCAAACAATGTATTCCTGTATTCAGATAAGTGAATTTCTATGAATTTCCAATCACAAACATGAGATATTACCATCTTTAATTGATAGCACAGACGCTATAGCAATGTATATCACGCCGAAGACGGTTGAAACTGCCAACCAAATTCCAAGAGCTGAAAGATGAGGAATACTAATGGCAAACAACGCACACACAAATCCAGCTATAGCAATACAATAAGGAAGCTTCAGCTGAGCATCATCCCTAAACAAGGTATAAGTAGCCTGCAACACATTAAAAGGAGAAAAAAAAGTGTTTTAAACAAAGTCAGTTCAGTGCAGTTTTATATGATATCAGATTTCAAGAAAGAGATGAAGAGTCAAGCTTCTCTTACTTTCAAGGCTGAACCAGCCAAAATAATGACAACAAGCGAAGCAATTGAAGGATTTCGTTGGACTTTTTTGCACACCCCTACATGGAATGAACCAATACCTGTCACAACGTTGAATGGTCAGATAAAATGCTTAAAAAATATGACAAGAACCTGCTTGTTTCATTGTCTGAGGTTTTCAAGCCCCAATTTTTCTCCAAGAGAATACAAGAGTCAATATACAAGTGTCTTGAAGCTTTTCTGAGAGAGGAACCTTTTGGGCCAAAAGACGCGTTGTTAGTAGATATATTAGTCTTTGTGATGTTTGATATTGCAATTTGATGTTCATAATCATAAGGTATACTGTCCTACCTGCAAAAAGCCTTCGTGACTGAAAAGTTGGACCTTTGGAGATTGCTTGAAATTCTTGTTGTTCATTTGAAGAGGTTCTCATACAATCAAGAACAAGCTAGAAACTTTTCTTGACTTTTTGATTAATTATCTAAATTGTCAACCTATGTCGCTCACATAAGATTGATGGTTACGCAAAAAACTTACATGAAGTAGAATTGACGCATCTCCACCTTGTGCTGATAGGATTCTTTATCAGGGTGGATGTAGATGTGGTATCCGAAGGTAGGATTTCAACATTTTCTGGTGCCTCCGGCGCTTAACCCCACTTTGACTGTTTCCACTTACTTTTTCACTCCTCATCTTATGGATCCTCCAGGCTCCTACCCAAGCATCTATCTCATGAGTGAGATACCACAAATGTTGAAGGTTACGTAAAAATCTTACATGAAGTCGAATTGACACATCTCCACCTTGTGCTCATAGGTAGAAAATGGCCCATGCCTTTGGGACTCTACTTTCAATAAGTGACTTTCTCCAATTTTATTGAAGTTTTTGAAAAGGAAACAACAAGAGACCATTTTACTTTCTTTGGATGCAAGCTAAACGCACAACAAAATAGAAAAGGTAAAAAAGGTAAAAAAAACAAGAAAAGAAAAACATGGTATCTTATGAAACAATGTAAGTTGCATTTACCTCAAATATCTTATTAACTAATTATTTTGTTGAAGTTTTACACAAAGTTGCACCATAAATAATTGGACATCCTTATCCAACTATAAATTAGTTTACACCTATGGTTCAAAATTGAATTGTCTTAATAGAAAATCGTTAATCAAATTAGATTAAATATATTTTTTTTTAAATTACATTTGATTCGGATGTGTTTGTGTCATATTTTAATAAAAGTGTGTGGTTCAATTTAATTTGTGGTTTATATTTTGTAAACCGAACCAAATCAAATTAAACTGCACTGTATTATGTTAATATATTTGATAATGTATTTTACACATATTTAGAAATGATTCTGATACCCGAAATGTATGTTTTAAATCTTATTCGTTTCTTTTAAATTTATCATTTGTTTTTAAGTATTAATCTCTTCGATTATGATATGTAAGGAGGTCTAATGGAGGATATTTGTATATCATGATTTTAATGGAAGATTTTGGTGGTGTTGTGATTGAGTTTTCTATTCTTGGTGTCTGGGAATAAGATGTTGTGTTTTTAGGGTTTAATATAGGATTGAAGTGTTTCTCAGTTTT